CCGACCCCCCCACCCTCTACTGGCCCACCCACCGGCCAGTTCCTCCTGCATTCTCCCATCCATGCCTTTTCTTTAGTATCTCTTAAAATTACCTGTCTTCTGAGAGTCTCTGCAGAAGTGTCCACATTTTCATTTTTCCAGCTCCAACAAAACATTGCAGCCAGTGCGATCTGTTTAGCACTCAAGTCCATCACTGGCGTGCAGCACATGGTGAATGAAATCTGATACCATAGAGTCTTCGTAACTCCCTTTGCAGACCACTTTTCACACACTCCACAGTCTGAGGCTGCCAAAGTTCTCCCCATTTCCTGGGTGGGCCATTTGGTTCTCCACTGTTCTATAGTCTGTCTTTCTGGGGTGACCATCCCCCATTCTCCGTTAAGAGAACTACTCAAGAACCTACTCAACCCCCGTTGGATTCCTTTAAACAGCTTGCTACCTCCAACTTCCCAGCTCCCAAATCATGCTCTATTTACCACTTTTGATTAACATAATTATCTGTGCCTTTCTTTTCTCTTCCCATTAGACAGCATCATCAGGACAAGAAGTGTTTGGCTCATCTCCATTTCCTTTTGTCCAATGTAGATTAAGCAAATGAGTAATGAGGCAAATGTGGCTGGTGACTGTCAGGGTTAGCCTTGTTAGATGGCTGTGGTCTTCCAGGCCTATGAGTTTTAGTCTTCTTTCTGCCATCCGTGTCTGCTGTGTAAGCTGAGGCAGAATGAGTGGTGGTGGTGCCCCCCCCCCCCCCCCCCCCCAGGCTTTGCCTCCATTGCTAATTGATCACGAGGCAGACTACCTTGGCTGGAGGTTTGAGAAACTTCAGGTTAGAGATGATGAATAATGTCAGATGTGTGGGATGACAGGAGAGTGAGGGGATTTTTCAAGATGACCATCTATAGGGGAACACCCAGTCTCAAGTCTCAGAAGGCAGGTCTTGTGGAGGAGGCGACCCTCAGAACCCAGCCTGAGGGAAAGTTAGCTTTTGGACACAGTGTAGAAGGGAGGAAAGCCACAGCAGAGCCGAAGGCCAGAGGCTCAGGATTCTCAGCATTCTCAGCTTACACACTTAGGTGCTGTCTGCCTGTGAAGTGAGCTAGGTGCTGGCTTCGCGCCTCATCAGGGTCTTACTTTCCTGCCTTTTGCAAAGGAGGTCTCGAGTTTTTCTGTGCCCTTCACAGGTGGAAGGAGGGAGAGAAGTGAGGAAAGCGATGCTCCTGGGTCCTCGTGCTCACCCTGTCCCATGTCTTTTTGCCTTTAGCTGTGGGGAGCACTCCTTCTCCAGGAGTCCCATGAAGGACACATTGCCAATGCAGGAAGTCACTGGATGAGGACAGCCCCACCTAAGTGAAGCCTTCAGGCCCGGTGATGGCTGTGGCCTCGCCTCCACTAGAGTCTGAAGACCTCCTGATTGTAAAACTGGAGGAGGACTCATGGGGATCAGACGCCAAACACCAGCAGGAGGTCCAGGGCCGTATCCCCGGCCCCGAGGTTTCCCGCCTGTGTTTCAGACAGTTCCAATACCAGGACGCAGCTGGACCCCATGAGGCCTTCAGCCAGCTCTGGGCTCTCTGCTGTCGTTGGCTGAGACCCGAGATCCGCCTCAAAGAGCAGATCCTGGAATTGCTGGTCCTGGAGCAGTTCCTGTCCATCTTACCCAGGGAGGTGCAGACCTGGGTGCAGGCACGACACCCCGAGAGTGGGGAGGAGGCTGTGGCCCTGGTGGAGGATTGGCATCGAGGGGCCCTGGCTACCAGACAGCAGGTGAGGCTCATAGTCTGCTTTCCAGGAAGCTGGTTAGGAAAGGTAGGGGGCTGGGACTCAGTTAATAATTGCCCCCAAATCGCAGTAACAGTAATCACTGAACAAGCGCTACGCTGTGTACTGAGTCCTGCTGTGTAGCAGGTGGTATTTGAACTGCTTGACTTGTATTAACTCACTTGATCCTGCCATAGTTTAATAAGGTGGTCAGTACTGTTAGCCTAATTTTACTATGGAGGCAAAGAAAAGAATAGGTAATAAGAATAGGTAATTGGGTCCTGGATTGTAGAGCCAAGATCTGCACTTGGAAAAGTCTAACTGGAGTGTGCATGCCTAACCACCATCAAAACTGCTTCCCAGTACCATACAGTGTGCCTCATCTGTAGTATGTTTTATGTTTAACACAGTCATGATACATACCTGGATCTCTTTGGATGCTTATAGCAGCACGTAGACAGAAATAGTATTCCTGTTCCCATTTTGTAGCTTAGGGTTCTAAAAACCAGATGGTTCCCAGCGGTCATTCAGGGAGTGAACCGGAACCTAAACTCCGATCCTTGGTTGCCAAGGCCATGCTCTCTTGCACTATAGAACCGATATCTCATCTGCAAACATGGGATTGAAATCCCTCTGGGTGTGAGGCTCAGGTGAGGTGTTCACTGACATTCTCTGAGCCCCGCTGTGCATCAGGCCCTGTTCTGAGCCTCTTCTGTCTGTCCCTCATCCAGTCAGCCACCGTCCGAGAAGATAGGTTCTCCTTTTCTGTTTTTTAAGTGAGTTAGCAGTGAGGTCAGTAACACATCCAAATTTGTATAGTGAAGTGGTAGAGCCAGAAAAGGAAGTGGTGCTGTGGATTTATTGTTCACAGCTTCAACAATTTATAAGTAACTCTGAGGGCCTGGGATGGAGTATCTGATTTTTCCAATGACACAGAATTTGGGCCCTGCTTGCAGCTGCCCTGTATTGTGAGCTCCCTAACTGGCTTCAGGCTGAGACATCCTTCTAGAACCTTCACCTCAAAACCTTGCTGCTCTCCACTTGTTATAATCAGAAATCCCCGTGGCCTCAGATTTGACCACATTTGGTTGGAAGGATTGTGTGTTTGAGAATACATATGCTGTAAATGGCAGGTTTTTCTGTCCATTTAGATGGTAAAGGTCTGGACAGATGTGAGAGTAGGGCAGGGGAGGGCTAAGCTCCGGGGCTTGGCTCTGGGGTTCTTTTAGGGACTGGCAAGAAGCTACCATTTCAAGCCAGAGAACAGAGCATGAGCACATGCCTTTCAGAAGTATACTCCATCCCCGTGTTATTTCTTTCAAGAAGCCAGCTGTTTGCCATGAGTGGCAGAGAAGAAACAACAGAAGCCTTAGGACTTTGGAGCCGGATGATGTAAACGTGAAGCCTAGAGGATTGACTTAAGGTCTTTTTTTATTTTAAAGATTTTATTTATTATGTATACAACATTCTTCTTCCATGTATATCTGCACACCAGCAGAGGGCACCAGATCTCATAACGGATGGTTGTGAGCCACCGTATGGTTGCTGGGAATTGAACTCAGGACCTCTGGAAGAGCAGTCGGTGCTCTTAACCTCTGAGCCATCTCTCCAGCCCGACTTAAGGTCTTTTTGATCCTTCATCTGTAAAATGAGAAGTCAGACTAGAGTTTTCACATGACACCACTGTGAGCTGACCAGAGGTTGAATTGCTTCTACAACAGAGAAAAGATATAAAGCAATGGTGTCTTCCCTGGGCCCCTTTCCCTTTGACTTAGTTTTATTCTTCAGCTTCTCTGCCTGCTCCTGGTTGCTCACAAACTTCACAGTGATGGGAAGAGCTGTGAAGAGCTTTCTCCAGTGCATGTGCCAGAGCTTGTGGTCCCCCACTTCACGCTCTGACCCGTTGCCCTCTCTGGAAGCAAAATCTAACTCTCTGGAAGAGGAGAAAATTTTTGCTCCTCAGGGGGAGTGACCACCTCAGAAAGGTTGGTGCCTTAATTCAGGGCTAAGTGGCCCCAGGTTGTTTCCCCAGAAGGGGTCTTCGAGTGCCGCTGTCTTTTCATCTGGCATCACTCATGTAGAACTCCACCCCTCACCAGGCTTTCTGATAAGGTGTACATAATTTTTAAGATAGTTTTCAGTTCAGAACTGAGCTGAGAGTATGGTGTTCTCAGAGATGCCCTGACCCCCTGGTAGTCTCCATCACTGTCATCATCCCCCATCAGAGTAGAACATTTATTTCCCCAAAGGAGCCTGCGCTGACATCATCATCACCCAGATCATACACTTCACACTGAGGCTTACTGTTGGTGATATGCGGTGTATGGATTTTGGTGGGTACATAGTGACATATGTCCACTGTTATGGTGTCACACAGAATAGTCTCATTGCCTCAACAACCCTGGTGTTCTGCTTACTAACTCCTTCTCCTTCCAACCCCTGGCAACTGCTGATATTTCTACCACCACCTGGTGTGACTTTTCTGTGAATGCCACAGAGGTGGAGTCACACAGTTGGTGGCCTTTTTGCATTGGCTTCTTTTACTTGGTAGTGAATGCTTTGTGCTCCTCCATGGCTTTTCATGGCTTGCTATTGTTTTTCTTCTTAGCATGGAGTTCTGTTCTGTTGTCTGGATGTACCAGTTCTTTCAGTCAGGAAACTAGTGAGGGGCAAAATCACATATCCAAAAGCAACTTGGGGAGGAAAGGGTTTGATGGCCTTATATAGTTCAGCTCACATCACTGAGGGAATTCAGGGCAGGAGCTCAAGCAGTAACTGAAGCAAAACCATGGAAGAATGCTGCTTACCTGTTTGTCTTCCCTGGCTTGCTCAGCTAGCTTTCTTATACAGCACGGGCCAACCTACCTAGTGATGGCACTGCCCAGAGTGGGCTAGGCCCTTCCACATCCGTTAGCATAGGGAAAATGTCCTATCTGCGTGAGCTGATCAAGTCAAGGCACTCCCCTGGTTAGCTCTGGCCTGGGTCAAGTTAACAGATGAAGATAACTAGGGGAGGAAGATCTTAAGGGGAGGGGATAGGATAGGTTTGAAGAGGGCAAGGGAATAATGGAAAAAGAAGGGTTAAAAGGGATGTGGGGGGCAAAGTAAAGTAGGTATGATGGGGGAGGGGTAATTAACACTAAAGACCTTTGAAAATGCCATGTGGAAAAGGACCACTATAGAAGCTTTCTAAAATATGTGTACACACACACACACACACACACAACACATGTGTGCACTTGTGCAGAATGGAGTTACCCCTATAACAGAAAATGCTTCTCCCAGATACCAGGCTATCGCAAAAAAGCCTAGTGCTAGATATGGGTTACCTGATTTCAAGCTGTCGGTCAGTGGGACCCCAGAAATCACTCCAGGCTTCTGCCATTGCCCTTTGCTGTCCCCCAGATCTTAACAGTGAGACCCTGATGCTGAAGACACCACATACTTGAGTTGTAGCACAGGCAGAGATCAAGCTGGTAGCAACCTGGAAGCCTCGGCCCCACAATCCAGCTTTCACAGTGGCAGAGTAAAGTATTCAGCAGTTCTACCCAACTGTGAACATTGCTACAATGACAACTGACCTGGCAGGAGCTGCCCACTGGTGCAATGTTGGAGTAGATGTTACAGGAATAACAAATGACTTCCTGGTTGGGTTTAAGGCCTGCTCCACAAGATGGAACTCATGCCTGCTACTGTCAACTGGGCTAAAAACTCATAACTGGCTAGGTCACAGGCCCTAGGGGAGAACCAAATATTATTATCCTACTAAACAGACATAGTATGAAATTGCCCTCTAAATCCTTATCTTTATTTTCGTAGATCACTGCATTTTCTGTCTCTCATTAGAGAAACTTCTTTTGCAGTAGATGGTGATTAATGCAGAGACCACAACTTGTTACCATGCAGAGTGAGACTAGAGTGCTCCGTTCTAACTGGGACATCTACACCATACATCCTCCCCCATAGCTCAGGGATCACCACAGAACAGGAGACAGGAAATCTGTGAGCAATGTGGGGAGTAGCCATCTGCAGTGAAGGCTTCTTTGCTGGACATGACACACTGCTGCACACACGCACATGCTGGGGGCTGAGCCTGGTCCTCTGGAAGAGCAGCTAGCTCATCTGCTGAGCCCTTGCTCCAGCCCCAGGTTCTTGATTCAGTGCTGATAATTCACCTCAAAGCTCCACAGCTCTCACTGCATCCTGTAGGTTTTTTTTTTTCAAGTTGTATTTTCATGTTAATTCAAAGTACTTTTAAATTTATCTTGAAATTTCTTCTTTGTCTCAGATATTTACTTGTATTTTGTTTGAGCCCTAAGTGTGTTGGGACTTTCCAGCTACCTTTCTGTTATGATTTCTGCTTTACAGAGCACACATGTCATGATTCTGTCCTTTCAAATTTGCTTAGTGACACTCCCTGGTTGTCTAGCAGTTAGGATTCGGTCCTCTCTCAAATTTGCTTAGCGTGTTTTGTGGCCTGGAATATGGCCCACCTTGGCAATGAATGACCCATGGGAACTTGAAGACAGATCTTATATTCTATTGTTAGAAGCACTGCCTTACAGAATTCAGTCACACCTCTCCTGTTGGCCCCACTGACGAGTCTAACCCCACTCGTAGCACTCTCCAGTTCACCTGTCTTTGGTTTGGTCTGTTCCAGAGCACTGCTGACTTCTCCAGCTGCAGTCATCCTTTCTCCTATGGTTCTGTCTGTCATGGGCTGTGCCCTTAGAAGCTTGGGGGTTAAGGAGTGTGTCCTTCCGTGGGTTGAGGATTGTTATGCCTTTGTAGAGCATTGATCCTATCATTTTATATGATAGGATTTATATGATAGTATCATTTTATAAAGCCTGGTGTATCATTTTATCCCTGGTGACTTCTCTTACTCTGAAGTCTGCTGTTCTGAAATTATTAACAGCTTCTCTCACTTTCTCTCCCCCCTTTCCATTTTTATGTGCACACGTGTGGTGTACATACATGTGTGTGCAGTGTGTTTGTGTGTATGTGAGGGTGTGCATATACATGGGAGTGTGTGTGCGTCTGGAGGCTTGAGGTTGATGCCAAGAGTCATCTTTAATCACTTTTCTGCCTTATTCGTTGAGGTAGACTCTCTCAGTCAGACCCAGAGACCACTGATATGGCTGGCCGTGCTATGCTAGCCAGCTTGCTCTTGGGATCTCCGGTCTCTGCCTTTTGAAGCTGGAATTACAGACAGACCACCATGCTTACCGCTTATTCACATGGGTTCTGGGGACCTGAACTCTGGTCCCTGCTTGTGTGTCAAGAGCTTTAACCACCCAGGCATCAAGAACATTTTGAATAATGATCATGCTTGTAGTACTTGTCCAGCCTCCCAGAATTCAACAGGACAGAACTCATTTGGTAGTGTAAATGCTGGTTCATTTACTAAAGTCAGTCAGCTTTCTCATTGTGTCTGAAACCCTCTTTGGGTCGTAAGTGTCTGCTAACCCCCGGAACACATTCACATACAAAAATAACATTCCTGTCTCACTGAAGGGACCTTTTGAACTAATGATGGAGGTTTTGACTTCATTTGTAGGGACTGGAGCTATGTGCTGAAGAGTCCAGATCCTTTGAAGCAGTTCCAGAGTTTCAGAGCTTCCAGCTGCAGCCAGTGGCTCACTGCTCTGAGGCACAGCCCCAGAAAGAGTGGAACACACACCCAGACCTTTCCAAGGTGCCGCCTCAGCTCTTGAAAGAGAGTGGTAAGTACCAAGGAAATGGGGACATAAGAGAACGAGGCCTTTCCTCCTGAGGGCCAGGCTTGGGAGGTGGGGAGAAAAATGTGCAGAATTCAAGATCCATGACAGGACAAATGTCTGGTGGATGTTGTCACTGAGCAGTGAAGTTAAAAGGCCCTGTGGAAGAGGATGCCTGCAACATCCCACCAGCTGGAGTTACTCAGAAGGCACAGGCGTGGCAGTTGGTGTGTGCTGCTCACAGGGTAGGGACAGGCACCTCACACATGGCACACCACTGAAGATAGCTTGGGACTCCCAGCATCTAAAAGGAAAGTCAAACGAGAAGTGTGTGCTGGGCATGGGGCACCCTTGGCTTGACCCCGGCGTGACTTTTGGGAAGCTGTGTCTCAGAAGAAAGTGGATTTAGAGAACCAAAGCTCATGTCTCAAGGGTTTATTTATTCTCTTCTTCAGTGGTCCATATACCCCAAGCCCCAGCTATTCCAAAACCGGGGAGCACTGGAGATTGGGAGGTGGCAGCCAAGTCCCAGGTAAACTGCTGTTTTCTTTTCTTGTCGTCCTCTTGCCATGCCCCTCCCCCATGGTCTTCTCCAGCAGAGGGGTATAGGGCATAGGATGTTAGTCTTTGTCCCATGGGGCCTGCTGGCAGTCACTGACCTTGATGTTGGCCTCAAACATGGCCTCACTGGATCCTGATCTTTCTTAGGCCAGGTCAGGTTCCTGGCCGATTTTAAAGTGTCAGTGATATTTAAGGACCTTTCTGTGTGTGTCACAGGAAGCCTGGAGCCCCCATAGACAAACCAAGGAGAAGGTCTGCCAGGACCCTGCAGGAGATGATTATGGAAACAGTATGTGCCTGGGTAAGTGTGTTCTGCTCCATGGCCCAGCTTGCCTGTCTCTGGGACACCTGTTCCCCAGAGAGAGGTTTGTACTCCTCAGAGCCAGAGCTCTGTGCTCTCTGCACTTTCAGGGGAGGAAGAAGACTGGCTCCTTGCAGCCGGCCCCTCACAGTCTGCTGGGTTGGGATCCCGGCTGCTTGCTGCTTCCTAGAGCTGGTCCTGCTGGGGCTCATGACCTGTGTGCAGTGACCTTGAGCCTGGAACTGGACCAGGCGCTTTGTCTCAAAACTCTGCACCCATTGAGAGCTGCCTTTTGGGGGCAGACACTTGTGAACTGAGCTCATGAGGCTGATGTATGAAACTTTGAGAGAAACGAGTAGCACAGGCTTCAAAATGCTCAAAGCTCACGTGAGGGCACACCTTTCCTTGAAGGCCACCCATGTGGCACGCCGATGCTAAAGGACCCTTCATCTGAGGGAGGACAGACACATGAATGGGGCGAAGTAGAGTAGGAGCTTGAGTGCTGCTCACTGGACAGTGAGATCCCAACAGTGCTTACAAGAAATGCCTTCGAGAAATGCTGGGGTAGGGTACCCTGAAAAGGCTTTGTACCCAGACTGTATCTAGCTCTCCTCAAACATTTACTGTAATGAAAGGCTTTCCACTTTGTTAGGACCAGGTGCTGTTGGGAAGGTCATCCTTTAGAGTAGCTACAGTCTGAAAAATCAGGGCATTCATTGCCTCACATTGTTAGGAGCCCAGAGGAAAAAGCACTCTAAGCATAGCACGGATTAGCTCAGCAATGCCCTAAGGGCTCTACATTTATCTTCCACCTTCCTTCTTCACCCCTTCTCTTTCTCCCCTTCTCTCTCTCCCCTTCTCTTTCCTCCTTTCTCTCTTCTTCCTTCTCTCTCCCCCCTTTCTTTCTTCCCCTTCTCTCTCTCCATCAGGATTTGTTGCACGTTTAGTGTTGTTTTGTCTTATAGGTAACAGTGGCAAGGGAGGTCAGAAGTTTTCCAGCAAGAGAGAGACACAGACACAGACACAGACACAGACACA